ATAGTGTCCTTGACTAACCCCTGAAAAAATTCAGTCTGGGGGGTCTACTCTTCTGTAAAGGCCATGAGCTTATGAGATATTGCATGGCAAAACAGTGCAGGAGAGTGTTAACTTTCTCAAATGGCCTGAATTTCTTTTTTTTTTTAATTCAATTTATTTTATTCTGAACTTAAGAAATAAAACAAGCATTTTCATAACATAGTAGAATAGAAAAAAAATATCATTGTACATGAAACTGCAAATTTATTATGTACAACTTGCTATTCCCTTTAAAAATACATAAAAAGAGAATGAGATTTTTTTTCTTTTTTTCTTTGCTGAAATCTAGGTAAATTATATCCACAGAACTCTTCTTATCTACTAACTTAGTAATTCTGTCAAAGAAAGAACTGAGGTTAGTCTCGCATGACTTGCTCTTGATGAAGCCATATTGGCCCTCTGTAATCACTGCTTCCCTTTCTAGATGTTAGCCATCTCTTTAATAATAATTGTATAATTTTCCCTGGAATAAAAGTCAAACTCAATAGCCTGTAGTTTGGAATGGAGGAAGGTCTAGCTTTAGGGGAAAGTTGAATTGGTTAACTATATGGAGTTTCTTAATCTGGGCCCATAAACTCTTTTTCTTTCTTTCTTTCTTTTTTTTTTTTTTTTGGTTAGGCAGTGGGGTTAAGTGACTTGCCCAGGGTCACACAGCTAGTAAGTGTTATGTGTCTGAGGCTGGATTTGAACTCAGGTCCTCCTGAATCCAGGGCCGGTGCTCTATCCACTGCACCACCTACCTGCCCCTTGGGCCCATAAACTCTTAAAAACTTTTGATAACTGTGTTTCAATATTATGAGTTCTTGTAATTCTATGTATTTTGTTTCATGCATTTAAAACATTATTCCGAGAAGGCATCTGTATGCTTCACCAGATTGCCAAAGGGATTCCTGACACAAAAAGAGGTTAGGAAGCCCTGTATCTAGAATCAAGATTGAGAAGGGAGGAAAGTGAAGCCTGAGCTAACAGATCTTGGAGAGCCACCATTTAGACAATGTAAAGCCATGGGTGGGCACAGACCTTCTAGGGGTAGATAGTATGCATAAGAATGAAACAGTTAAAAAAAATGGTGGGGTGGAGAACTGAATTTTTGTTTTTTACAAATTCTGCTTCCTCTTTTTAATCTGTAATTTTTATTAACATCACTTTCATTTCCAAATATATATTCCTTCACCTCCCCTGCCCCTTACCCAGTAGGCCATTCATTGTAATAAAGAACATGGATATTCTACACCATAGGCCCCAACCTCAGCAAAGACAGAAGAGAGAGAAAGAGATTTTCTAATCTTTTTTTAGGGCCAATCTTGGCATTATAATCATGTAGTAGTCATATTTTTGGTGCGTTATTCTTTTCCTTTAGATTGTTGTAGGCATTGTATATATTGATCTCTTGGTTTTACTTTTTTCTTTCTGCTGTGGTTCAGATAAATCTTCTCATGCTACTCTGAATCCTTCCTAATTATAATTTCTTTTGGCTTAGTAATATCTGCCACAATGTGTTTAGCTATTCTGAAATTAATAAGCATCTCTCCTGTTCGCAGATTTTGCTCCACAAAAGGTGCTGCTATGAATACTTTGGTATATACAGGCCCGAAGACAAACTTCTTAGGGTTTCTTAATTTATTTAGAGAAGTGATAGATTCAGGGGGCAGAATGAGACATTTTTTGAATGAGGTTAATGAGGGAATTTATTTTGCTTGACTATGCATATTTGTTACAGGGAATTTATTTTTCTTTTTTCCTAGTGGGATGGAGGTGGATTGGGAGAGAAAACTGCTTTCTGTTAATTAAAAAAAAAACCTTTGATTTAAATATAAGTAAATAAATTCAGTGCCCTGTGGCACTGGCATACCAATACTCTAGGTAGGCCTCTGGTGCAACATACATCATAAAGTTGTTGTGAGGAAAGTGCTTTGTAAATCTGAAAGTGTTATATAAATATGAATTATTTAATATATGTTATATGTATATTTATGTTCCAACAAAATACACACTTGATGCTTTGCAAAAAAGAAAAATTAGTAATTTTGCTTATAGTAAATGCTGATAGTTTTAAGACCATTGCTTGTAATTGTTAGTCAGAAGTTTTTTTATGGTCTTATCCCACACCCCCAAACTGTGAGAAATATTAACAAACCATGGTAACCATGACTAACAAATGGATTATAGAATGAAAGTGTTGATTTGCAAGCCGGAATTAGAAACATTGGGCAGGAAATGCTGTCATTGGGATGGTTTTCAGGGGCTCTAAGACTAAGATAGCAGAGTCCTGACATGGAAGTATTCTAAGAAGACCAGATAATCTATTTGCCTAGAATAACCTTGTCTGTGTTACAGGTTAAAAAGACTACAAGCATTTATATTTGGGGCTGTTAATTTATTCATTTAAACCCAAGGCCTGCTCTCATTTCATTCATAATAAATCATACTCAAGAAAATTTAGAAGTTACCTACCCCAAAACTACTCTCTCTCAAAGGCTCTTTCCTGCCCCCTCCACCCCCGACTAGGCCATCTTCTCAGTTACTTTATTAAAATTGATTAATACCTATTAATAATATCTAACCCCACTTATTAATAATCAATCAACAAGCATTTATTAGACACCTATTGTGGGCCAGGCACCATACAAAGTGGTGGGGGTACAAAGGTAAAAAAATGAAACAGTCTCTGCTTTGCCTGCTATTGTAGGAGACAACATCAGGGACATGAAGCTATGACACGTTAAGTGAATTGGATTTAAGTGAGGGAGGGCTGTGCAGTCACCAGCCTCACTTTCTCTTCTGGAGCCATCTGGGTCCAGTGGACAGAGAGAAAGAAAAGAAAAAGGAAGGAAAGGAAGGAAGAAAGGAAGGAAGGAGGAGGGAAGGAAGGAAGGAAGGAAGGGAAGGAAGAAGGAAGGAGAAGAAGGAAAAGAAGGAAGGAACGAAGGAAGGAGGAAGAGGGAAGGAGGGAGGAGAGGAGGAGAGAGGAGGGAGAGGGAGGATTGGAGAAAGGAGAGAGGGAGGGAAGGGAGTGGAAGAAAGGGGAGGGTAGGGGAGGGGAGGGGAAAGGGTTGTGTTGCCCAACTGCCTAGTTCCATTTGGGTCACCAGTGGGGTAGCTCCTCTTTCTACTCACAGAGGTCATTGTTTGTCCTTGTTCTCGAAGAAGACCATGACATCAGGTAGGTGCAGCTATGACATGCAAGTGAAATTTGAGTTAAGTGAGGGAGGGCTGTACAAAGTCACCAGCCTCAGTTTATCCTCCAGAGCCATCTGGGTCTCCGGCAAGATATAGATCAGGATGACTGGAGATGGCCCCGGATGCAGTAGAGTGAACGTAAATAGTAATTGCTTCTTTTTTGGCCAAAAACCCTGAGGATCTTCCCCTCCCAGAATGATTTTTTTTTCTTTTGACTAGGTAAAGAGGCCATTCTCTGCCTCATTTCTTACCTAGCCTTAATCACTGAATGGGATTGCCTCAGTCAAACTGAGACCTGGGAAAGACTTTAGCTTAAAAAAGCCAAAATCTCCCACTGCATCTAGGGCCTGATCTATATCTGACCAGGGGACCCAGAGGCTCCAGAGGAGAAAGTGAGGCTGGTGACTTTGCACATCTCTCCCTCATTTAAATCCAATTTCACTTGCATATCATGGCATCATTTCCCTGATGTCATGGTCCTCTTCAGGAATGAAAGACAAACAACAGGAGACAACATACAAGTTGTCCCAAAAGTCTTAAAGCCATTTTAAGTTTTAGTAGCTTAAATGCAAAGTACTGGCGAAGGGCACTACAAGGGGGAGGAATCCGAAAGACCTGGTGTAGAAGGTGGTACTCCAGCTAAACTTTGAAGGAAACTAGAGATTCTAAGAAGTGGACACATGGAAGTAGTGCATTGCAGGCTGGGAGGCAGACTGTTGGGGGTGGGGGCGGCAGCCTGTGCAAAATAAAACATTTCAAAAGCTGAAGAGAGGAGCTTTGGGGGACAATAAAAGCAAATTCTGATACAGATTTGCCTAAATAATAAATGATACAGAGAAAAAAAAAAGTCCCCGAAAAAACAAATCAATCAATCAAATTAGCCAAGAGTTTTCTCTCCTGGGTGCAGTATTAGACTTGCCAAAGAACTTGTGTCTCAGGGCACATGTGCCTGGTAAACTCCCGCTCTTTGCACCTTTGCTCTTTCCAAGCCTTAGGTAAACACTAAGTCAATAATTTTGTTGGGTTGGGCCCAGTATTCTTTTGGACACTGCAGAGGAATAGTTTTCAGTGTGGACTATTAGGATTTAAGTGGCCCAAATTTTCTAGAACCATAAACGTTAAACCTTACTTGGGAGAGTTGGAAGAGCAGAGCTGAGGGGCACAGCTTTAGCTGGCCTGAGGAAAGGGCATCTAAAAATTTGCTTGACTTTAAAACCCGGGTTACTATTACTGAGGAAGGAGAGTAAATATAACAAATACCGCGAACCTAGTAAGAGCAAATTTATACAAAGCCAAGGCAGTAGATTTAAGCCATTGCTGTCTGCTGCAAAGTCCACAGGGCTACAACGACTGCAAGGAAGCTGACTCTTCAGCCCGAGGTATCCTTCACAGAGAGGATCCCCTCACCCCACCCCACCCCACCCCAGTTGTGTAGCACTCCTCAATCCATCCATACCCAGAATAGACCCAGCCACATTCCTCCTTTTAAGTTAAGCCCAGTGTTACATTTTCGTATACCACCTGCTGCGCCCTAATGTCCCTTGTATAGCAATAACCACCCGTTATGTTCTCCGTTATTTGTCCCCGACTGCAGTTTGATTCCCAAATAAGCCATTTTTTAAAAAAAGAACACAATCCCTTTCAAAAGAATTTGTCTAGCGAGTTCCATTCTCGCCCCCATTCCCACCCCCCAGCCCCCACACTTCATCAGAGACTTGCAGTCCTACAGCTGTCTCATTCCCCTGCATTCATGCAGGTTCTGATTACTATGCGTTCTCTTGATGTTCAACTCCTGTCGTGACCCAACACCCTAGAGGCGGAGCAAATAAGCTGAGACGTCAGGGCCAAAAAAAAAAATCATCCTAGCCATGCAAGCTATCCCTCTGCTCAGCTGCTCCCAGCCCACATCCATGGCTTGTGTGACAGCATCGGAACACAGAAGCCGCGTTGAAATGCAGTTAGCAGTACAGCTGGGAGACAGGCATGGAGGCGACGGTCCAGTGACGAAAATGAGCTTCCCGTGAGCTTGGTAGTCGACTGCGGTGCTTGTGAAGGGGCCTGGGGCTTCCCCTAGCAGCAGTGCCAGGCTCGGTGCAAAAAATACCCCGCGGTGCAACTCAGTTTCTTTTGGTGACTGCGGTGTTCCCCCCCCCCCTTTTTTCTCCCCTTTCCCGTGTCCTCTTCTCTAGGATGGCGGAAGCAGAATTGCACAAGGAAAGGCTGCAAGCCATAGCTGTAAGTCTGGTTTCATTTTACTTGCTCTATTGTGTGGCAATGGAGGGGGAACCAGAGTTTGGGGGTTGGGGTTGGGGAGCATTCCAGCACAGTAGCTATATTGGCATGCTCTTGAAAAAAGAAGTTTGCAAGGGCTTGCTTTGCCTTTTTCTTTAGACGTGTGCATAAAGGTCACCACATGCATTTTTCTATCTGTATGCACCCATGTAAAACTAAAGTGTGCTTGGGACTGGGTATTTGAATGAGGTGAATTGAGTAATTTGTACAGGGGTTAGAAATGAGATGCTTTATTTAAGGACTGATGAGAGTGGGGAGGGGAAAGAATGGAAAGGTTCCAAAAATGTTCTCATGCCGTGCCCAGGAATATCTTTGCTTTATGGACTCCGAGGGTGGGGAAACTGAATTAAATGGTGATTTTACTTCCCTGCCATTCTCATAGCTAAAGGAAAAAAGTATGTGGCTCCCTAAACCGCTAGAGTAGAATGCCATCTCACTGAGCTGAATGTCTGGATGCCATTGGAAGCCCTGAGCTTCACCTCCCCTTTGCTGGTGTCATATGAAAAAGGGCACACCAAAGAGGAAAACATAGAGCTTATAAAATGGCCCAGGCAAGCCACAGCTTAGAGCTGCTAAGATTTTGGGATGATATTAAAGGAGTCTGTGCCCTAAGGCTTGGATATTCTATGCACTTCATCTAACTGGGTTCAAGGCAATCTCTTTTTGGCAAAGTTCAAATGCCAGCTCAAAAAAAGTTGTGCAAGACAGGATTGCTACATGTGCTACTTGGGTCTTAAAACGCCTAAATCTGTCCAGATTTTAGCCGCCTTTAGACCAGTGTTACCAATGATCAACAGATGTTGTGTTTTTACTATAAAGGCCACAGCTGGATTATATATTTCCCTCGTAGATGAGGGAATGATTACTGCTCTTATAGGGAAGAAAGAAAAAATAGGTCTAATAACATCTAGCACAGAAGAATCGCCAGAGGCACAGTAGATTAAATATGTCTTCTGCTCCAAAGTTTCCTGGGGGGGGGGGGTGGAATATTAATTTGGTGGAGGGAAGTAGTGGGCAGTACTTTGCCAGCAAGTTATATTGTTTTCCCCCCCAGAAGGTTTTAAGCCATGTCTCTAATGGAAAGGGGCATGAAGGCCTTGTTGGTTTTCTTCTTAAGACCTCTGCCATGAAGGGAGTCTTTATGGAATTGAAAGTCCTCCTTCCTAACTCTTCAAACTCAGATTCTGCTTTGAGATGCCACTGTTGAATTGAGAGGGTCACCTCCAACAATAAAATTTCTGAAAACTGGAGTCTCCAGAACTCAATAAGCTATGTCATTATCTGTGAATGCTATGTCTATTTTAATGGCACATGAAGTCATTCATTGCTTCAAAACTCCATAGCAAGCCAGTGTTGCCAGCTTGTCATGCCCTTGATAAGAAGAGGTATTCCAATTGTGGTGCCATATAGATAGCTGATGTTTTGTTACCAATGGCATAACAGGCAGTAACTGGAGTTGTCATTGAGGCACAGACAACTGGATGAGTTATAGGAATCCTAGATGGAATCCCTGGGGCTAGGGCTTCCTTCACATAGCTGTCACATTTTCTGACTTGGCATCCTGGTTTCATTCAGTGAATGGCTAAGCAAAAGCTGGCATCCAGGGGAAGACTGGCTTTCTGCACGTGGAGAAAGGCAAGTTGGCTAATGCAGGTCCTCTGGTGCCAACTGTCTCAAAATGTGGCAGACTGATCTAAGCAGTGGTTTACTTTAGGAAGGAGTCTGACACAATCTTTGAAGATTTTCCTCTGGTGTGTGTGTGTGTGTGTGTCTGTCTGTCTATACACACACATACACATATTCCTATATATCTTCTATATGTATGCATATATGTCTTCTATATATGTGTATGTACATAAACATATACACACGTGTATTTTTTAAGAACATGTATATCCCTTGTGCCTGTGTAATTCTTTGTGGGTAGACCTGGAGGATTATCTGTGTCAGTTGCAAATAAGCAAATTAACATGCTGGTTTTGACAAATACATGTCCTGTGCTTTCTAGGATTACTGTCAATGTGGCACTATGCAGGATTACATCATTTTGAGGTATATTATCTAGTTCGTAGGTTCTTAACCTGGGATCTGTGAACTTTTTAAAAAATATTTTGATAACTATATTTTGGTATAACTGTTTTTCTTTATAATCCCATGAATTTTATTGAATGCCTTCAAAAACATTCCGAGAAGAGGTTTGTGGGTTTCACCAGACTGTAAGAGGGGTCAGTGATCCCAAAAGGGTTCACAACCTCTCATCTATTTGTTTTCTGCCACCCCTATTCTCATCTGCATACTTCTTCAATGCAAATTCAGTCTAAAGGACAGTGCTTTCCTCATTATGCCCAGGAGTAATAGTGACATCCATCCACCTCCCCCTCCTTAAGCCTCCTCTCCAGAACCTGGGGCACTGGAAGGCTCCCCAGGGAAATAAAGAGAGATAGGTGGTATGGTTAATAGAATTTCTCAGTTGGGAATCAAAAAGACCTGAGTTTGAATTCTGACATAGTCACTTATTAGCTATGTGATCCTGGGCAAGGTTCTTACCCTCTCTCAGCCTCAGTTTCCTCATCTGTAAAATAGTACCTACCTTACAGGGTTGTGGTGAGGACCAAATGAGGTAACATATGTAACGTCCTTTGCAAAATCTTAAAGAATTTTATAAACGTTCGTAATTAAGATGGAATCTTGGGAAGAAATCTGTACTACCTGGAGTGATGTTATATAGATTTCCTCAGGTTCTTCAGGCAGAAGCAATTTCCTTTATTGGCTCAGACAGTATACCAGCACCCTGTGCTACAGACTCAGAGCCCAGTTTGAAGTGGTGAGAGATAGGAAGGTGGCACGGGGAGGGGGGAATCCCTAGGTGAGTGGATTGTGACTATGACAAATTCACACCGCTAATATTTTATTTCTTAAGCACCTATTATGTATAAGACACTAGTAAAACAGGGGAGATTATCTTTCAATACCAATTGGCATAGGGGAGATTTAACACTGTAATAACTAATGCTGTTACAAATAGTCATGTTATCTAAAATAATCAGGTCACATGTGACTTTGAACAATTTACCTTACTAATTCAACCTTCTTTTCCTCATCTGTAAAATAAAGGGATTACATGAAATAATTTCTAAGCTCCCATATAGCCCTAAACATATGATCCTATGATGATCCCATGATCTCAGACAATTTTAATTTCCAAACAAATCAGTCCTTCCCCATCATCTACCCTGCTCCAACTGTCTCAAAAAAAAAATGTTTTTTCCTAGTTCTCTATTTAAATCTTTTGTCTTAGTTCTCTTATCCTGCGGTCAGAAATGGATTATTCTTATCTTTATTTCTTGCCAAAACCAAAAGGAAATCACAATAAGCAAGATGATTTAAAAATCCATTTTGTCCAATTAGGCAACAAATCAAACCAAACAAACTCAGTTGCCTGCTATGTGCTAGGCATTGTGCTTAGCCGTGGGGCTACAAAGAGAAGTAAAGATAGTCCCTGCTCTCGAGGAGCTTACAATTTAATGGGGTATAATGGAAATAACTATGTGCAAACAAGCTTTCCTCATTATGCCCAGGAGGAATAGTGGTAGCCATTCACCTCCTCAAGCCTTATCTCCAGAGCCTGGGGCACTGGAAGGCTCCCCAAGGAAACAAAGAGAGATAAGTGGTATGGTTAATAGAATTTCTCAGTTGGGAATCAAAAAGACTGACGTAGTCACTTATTAGCTGTGTGATCCTGGGCAAGGCACTTACCCTCTCTCAGCCTCAGTTTCCACATCTATAAAATAGTACCTACCTTGCAGTGTTGTGGTGAGGACCAAATAAGATAACATATGTGAAGACAGAATATATATTGGAGACAATCAACAGAGGACCTCCGCTTTTCTCTTTGCTATGACTCTTTAGCTAGTGGGGGGGGGGTCATAATTACCTTCCATTATTTTAGACATGAAAGGTTAGTCTAAGTATGGAATGAGCTCCAAAGACAGTTTCAGGCCAAGAACGTGTCTCTGGACACCATGTTTGTATCTTCTTTTCCTTATGAGCAGTGTGGGTGATTCAGAATTCCTGAAGGATGAAGTTAGAACACTGGTAAGCAGCCTGACATGTACCCTTGGCATGAGGAAACCATGAAGCCCACTGGTATTAGTGGTAAGCTGGGGGCCCACATCCTGTTACAGATATTCCAAGAATTGATTCACTGGATGTAAACCATCCAATGTCAGTTGTATCTTAATGAATAACGTTTGCATTTTGAAGAGGTCACTGAAACCAAATGGAAACCAAATGTAGGGAAGGAAGTGTGGTGTCTGAGCTTCGAGAAAGGATGACAAAGGCATCTCATTCCATCCCATTCAAAAATCCCCCTCCTTCCACTGAGTTAAGATATAGCTTTGGAGTCAACTTGGCAAAATGCATTCTGGGGAAAAGCCATGAACATTCAGGCTGTAACGCTTTTGGGTTACAGGGATGATAAAGCCTGAGAATTTGGGTGTGCTTAAAGTTTAAATTTGGAGCCACTTTATACCAACTTTTGTTTGGTTTTATCATTTATTAAGAGCACACTATATATATATATATATAGCACTCTCCTAGGAACTATAAATAAAATACGGAACAGTCCTGTTCTCAAGTAGCTTGCAATCTGCTTGGGTATGTAGACATAGATACACACATCTCAATTGAATATTCAAGAAAATTTACAAAACTAGCATGTTAATAGGACACTGAAACAAAGGCCCATATTTTTGTGCTGGTATTCTTCCAGTATTGTTCACAGAATGCCAAGATCACGTAGCTTCACAGATTTAGAGATATAAGAGAGTTTAAAGGTCTAGTCCAACCTCCTTATTTTACAGATGAGAAAACCAAGAGCTAGAGATCTAAGTGACTTGCACAAGGTTACCCTGGTAATCAGTCAGTAAATATTTATTAAACAC